GGACACAGACAATAGGGTGGTGAAGACCTGGGGAGGGGGGTAGGGGCAGGCTGGAGGGGATCAATGGGGGCAAAAAGAGAACATATGTAATATTTTCAACAATAAAGAATTATTTTTTAAAAAAGAAAGAAAAAGCAACTTTCCTACAATGAGTAAAGTTTTTTTTAAGTCAAGAGGGGGAAAAAAATCATTAAAAAATACTGGGGGGAAAAAAGGGTACTTGGACCAATATCTCAATTTATTCATTCAACTAAGATATAATAACCTAATTATCAAAAGTTCACTTTCTGATGGCCAATCCTTTTGAACTGTTTCACTCTTCTAACACATATATATTTATCTATTCATAAAAATATTAACTTTTTTAAAGTTTAAAGCTTCATTATATACCAAAGGCCACCAGAATTTATTAGCATACAACTTTACCTCCAGAGATTCTGATTTATAGGTCTGGGGTGGAGCTCAAGGAATTTTCATTTCTAATATGTATCCAAGTAGTTCTGAGGCACATGGTCCCTGGATCATACGTAGAGAAACACTACAACTCTGTTCAAAATACTAGTTGTGAAATCCTCATAAGCTATCACATTTTTCTATCACTTTAATATGAAATGCAATTAACCAAAAACACCCTTCAAAGGAAACTAGTTAATATTTAATATAGCAACATGGTAAATAAACATTTTTGACTGAGTTAGCTAGATTAGGTCCAATTTTGAAATTCCTGAAGAGCACAGAGCAGAGAAACACAGCCACTATTGTAGTACTACTAGGTGAGAAAAATCAACTGCTTTATTTAGAGGCTAATCAGAAAGAGGATCAAGTATGTCTGACAAACAAGGTGCTTGAATTCTAACGAATAAAAAGTACCACAGCTATATGATGAGATATATAACCCTGAACTATGTCAAGTTAACATACCTAGTTCAAGAAGCTTCTTTGTAAGCAAAAGTGCCTTATCGAGGTCTCCCTGCTGGTACACCGCGTAGCTCAAATAATCTAGAACAGAGACCTTATCAGTGGTAGAAACCTCGCCTTCATCCAGCTGCCTGAGTGCCTGTTCCATCCACAGTTCTGTATGGTAATAATCTGCTTCTGTATAGGCCACTTTGCCCAACTCAAAACAGTCCTCAACTGTTAGGAAAGATTTGTGTTTCACTCCTATGGAAAGAAAATACAGAGCACTTTAGGATTCTTAATACTACTCCATGTTTATTCAGGGCTATACAGCCTTCAAAGTGCTATCTCACTTTCATTTGATTTTCACAACAATCCTCTGAGGGAGGAAAGCAGGAATAATCCTACATTTATAAACCGAGAAAAAATTTACAAGGTAATGAAACATGGCAAGAACCTAGCGGACAAGGGACCTAGATATCCCAAGATTTCAATTATCAGCATCATACCAAAATGAAACATCAATGAAGTTGAAACGTGCAATTTTCTAACAGAGCAGGACTCATCAGGTGAGATATATCCATCTTCCTCCTACCAACCATCTGGGTAAGAGATGGCTGGACAGGAAGAGAAGCAAACCTGTCAATTGGCTCCCTTACCTCCTCCTCCTTCCCTTCCCAACATTAATGATATGTAATTTACATACCATAAAGTTCACCCATTTAAAAAATATAACAGTTCTTAGTATATTCACAGAGTTGTGCAACCATTACCATAATCCAATTTTAAAACATTTTCATCACCCCAAAAAGGAAACCTGTAACCATTAGCAGTCACTACTCATCTTCCCTCCTCCCCCCGCCCATCCCAGCCCTAGACAACCACTAATCTACTTTGTGTATCTATAGATTTGCCTATTATGGTTTTGTCATATAAATAATATCATGAAACATATGTTCTTTTGTGACTGGCCTTTTTCACTCAAAACAATGTTTTCAAGGTTCATCCATGTTGTAGCATCCTTTTTATTGCCAAATAGTCCACTGTATGGAGAGACTATATTAGTTGTTTCCATTTATTTGGCTTTTATGAATAAGTTACTATGAACATTGGTGTACAAGTTTTTGTGTGGACAAATGTTTTCATTACTCTTGAGTAGAATTGCTGGGTCCTATGGCAACTCTATGTTTAACATTTTCAGGAACTGCCAAAACTATTTTCCAAAGTGGCTACCCCATTTTACAATCCCAACAGCAATATATGAGGGTTCCAATTTCTCCACACCCTCTCCAATACTTGTCATTGTCCATCTTTTTTATTACAGCCATTCTGGCAGGAATGAAGTAGTATTTCACTGTGGTTTTGATAGTATTTCCCTAATGATGATGTTGAATATCTGTCCACATACTTATTGTCCATTTGTGTATCATCTCTGGAAAAATGTATATTCAAATCCTTTGTTCATTTAAAAATTTGGTTATTTGTCTTTTTATTACTAATTGTTAGAGTTCTTTACATACTCTAGATACAAATTCCTTATCAGACATACGATTTTCAAATATTCTTTACCCACACTGTGGGTTGTCTTTTCATTTTCTTTTAACTATTCTTGATTTTTTTAAATCTTCACCCAATGATATTCTTTCCATTGATTTTTAGAGTGGAGGGGAGGAAGACAGGAGGAAGGGGAAGGGGGAGAGGGAGAGACATTGGTATGAGAGAGACACATTGATCAGCTGCCTCCTATATGCAGCTTGACTGGGGCCAGGGATTGAACCTGCAACCCAGGTACATGCCCTTGACTGGGAATCAAATCCACAACCCGTCAGTGTACAGTCCGACACTCAAACCTCTGATCAACACTGGCCAGGGCTATTCTTTTTTCATCCTCACCTGAGGATATTTGTTCCACTGGATTTTTTTTAGAGAGAGTAGAAGAAAGAGGCAGGGAGGGAGGGGGGGAGAGAAAAACATCCATGTGAGAGAGACATATTGATTTGTTGCCTCCTGTTAGCACCCCATCCAAGGCAGGAGATGAGCCTGTAACCGAGATAAATCCCCTTAACTGGAAATTGAAGCCATGACCCTTCAATCTGAGGGCTGACGTTCTAACCACTGAGCAAACCATCCAGGGTGACCAAGGCTATTCTTGATGTTTTATTCCAGTGTCTTTTCACTTTCTTGATTGTGTACTTAGAAGTATAGAAGTTTTAATTTTGATAAGTCTAACTAAGTATTCACATTTTTAAAAACATCAATCCTTTCTGCCTACCATATTTAAAAAAATCACTCAGATTGTGCAATATTCCCACATACAATCTGAACAAGTGCACACACTCCATGAATACAAAGCACATGATGAAAAAAGCCATACACCATACACCAAATCTGCTTCTCTTGTGTTCTCTATTTTCCTGAATGCAACCATCTAGTTGTTGAAGAAGCCAGAAACCCATATCCAGTCCATCATCAGATTCTACCATTCCATCTCCTATGCAGCTTGATAACCTACCCACTTCTCTCCATACCCACGAGCTACGAATGTCATCTCTCGCTCGAATTTTTACAACAGCCTCCTCTGTGATTTGTCCCTTCCCCCAGATCTCAATCCAATCTCCATTCTGCAGCCAGAATATTTCTAAAAAAAGAAAATCATATAACTTCCCTGTTTAAAACTTCTCAGTGGTTCCTCATTGCACTCAAAACAGTGCAAATCCCACATGGCTTACAAAGTCCTTCAAGAAAATAGCAAGTGTTGGTAAGGATGTTGAGAAATTGTGCACCAGTGGTGGAATGTAAAATGGTATATCTACTATGGAAAATAGTATGGCAGTTCTTCAAGAAATTAAAAATAGAATTATCATATGACCCAGCACTTCCATTTCTGGGTATATACTAAAAGAATGGAAGGCAGGGTCTTGAAGAGACATTTATACACTCATTTTCGCAAAAGAACTATTCATAATAGCCAAAATGTGAAAGAAATCCAAGTGTCCATTAATGAATGAATGGATAAGCAAAATACAGTATACACGTATAATGGATTATTATTCAACCTTAAAAAGTAAGGAAATTCTGACATTTGCTACAACATGGATGACTTTTGAGGTCATTATGCTAAGTGAAATAATCCAGTAACAAAAAGACAAATACTATATAAGGTACTTAGAGTAATCAAAATCATAGAGACAGAAAGTAGAATGATGATTTCCAGGGTCTGGGGGTAGGGGAAATGGGAGTTATTATTTAATGGGCATATAGTTTCCATTTTACAAGATCAAAAGAGGTATCGAGATGGATGGTGATGATGGCTATACAACAAAGCGAATGTACTTAATACCACTAAACTGAAATTTAAAATTGGTTAAGGCCCTAGCCTGTTTGGCTCAGTGGATAGAGCGTCAGCCTGCGGATTGAAGGGTTCCAGGTTTGAGTCATACCTTGGTTGCAGGCTTCTCCCTGCCCAGGCAGGAGGCAACCAATTGATGTGTTTCTCTCACATGGGTGTTTTTCTCTGTCTTTCCCTCTCTCTTCCACTCTCTCTAAAAATCAAGGGAAAAACATCCTCAGGTGAGGATTAAAAATTTTTTTTAAATAAATAAAATTGGTTAAGATAGTAAATTTTGTTGTATGATAAAAAATAATGTAAAGCAAATTATTACAAAATAATCAGCTATAACAACAAAAGAACGTTTTGCCAAAAATACTAGGTCAGAAAGCAGGATGTTCTACACTGCAGGACATTTTAAAAATTTACATATACCCTAGAGGTCTTGGTTTCTAATCACTGAACACATAAACTTTGATTATCAATTCCCTCATAACTTTATATACAAACACTGGGTATTATTAAAAAAACGTTTGGAAAAATTATTGTTTCTTTTTCTTACACACTAAAATTGCCTACTTAAGTTTAGTCCCTATAATTATAAGCTTTCAAAATAACAAGCAAGAAGCTTATCCACAACTATTAAGTGCTACTGAAATGGAGGGTTGTTTTGTTTTCAAGGCGGTGAAACAAACTGAAGTTAAAAATCTTAAAATACAGAAGTCTTTTTTACATTTACATTGTCCTACTGGACTGCACAGAGAAGCCAGGTGTTAGGTATTTTATAGACTAAGAATTCTTACCTGGAAGATTACCCTTTGAGATAGTATCTGTATCCAAATTGTAGGTGTCCTGGAGACGCAACAGAGCTTTAGCGGCCCCAACCTGATCTTCATCATTAGGGAAGTACTGTCTCTGAATGGTTAGGTTAGAGATGAAGCCTTGAAATAAGAGGGAGAGAGACTCTAGAAATTCAGAGACTTCAAATTTCCAAATCAGATTTTTCAGAACTGATTTTATTTTACTTTTCCACCATGCTATGTTCCACATGCTCCACAAGAAAAAAGCTGCACTGAATCAGACTTGACATGCCTCTAACTCCATCAGTCTTCCCAAACCCTTTCCAATGTCGCTTACCCGAAGTCAATGCATAAATTATGTCTGTGTATAAGTAAAGATCAACTAACATAGTAATTGAGCTTTTAGTTATACAACATAGGCTCCACTAAGCTTGAAAAATGAACAGATTTATGGATTTGAAAATGATATTCAATTAGCAACCAATTATACTTTCATATAACAGTTGGTAAGTAAAATGTATGCTCTTAAAGTCTATTTTTTCTTCTTCCATGTGCCACACATTATATAAATATAAAAATACAAAGTGTGGTTGAATTCTTTAAGGGGAGGAAGAATTATTAATTATATGTTTAAGATTATCAGGTAAGCTAGTTTATTAAAATATATTTGGATATAATTATTGAATATAGTGTTCATCAAGTATACTTTTTTAGTTTTAAGGGCAACTCTCAGTCACAATATCCACATGGAATTTTATAAGCAAGTTTTACAGATAACTATATTTTTTATGCCCCAAAACAAAATCCTCTCTTGAATGACTACCACAATTAAAATGTCAAAGTCTCAAGGTTTACCTTATAAAAGAGCTCAGGACATACAGATCATTATTTGAGAATTTTAAAATTAAATAAATGAATGAATATTTCTTCATGACCTTTATAATGTTCTCATGGTGTTATATAAGAGTGAAAATAGCCTAGCCGGTTTGGCTCAGTGGATAGAGTGTCGGCCTGCGGACTCAGGGGTCCCAGGTTCGATTCTGGTCAAGGGCATGTACTTTGGTTGCGGGCACATCCCCAGTGGGGAGTGTGAAGGAGGCAGCTGATCAATGTTTCTCTCTCATCGATGTTTCTAACTCTCTATCCCTCTCCCTTCCTTTCTGTAAAAATCAATAAAATATAAATTAAAAAAAAGACAGAATGAAAAAAAAAAGAGTGAAAATAATCACAGTTATTTCCTCTCATCATGAATAAGTATTCATAGTTCTTGCCTTAGTTTTTCTTTTCAAGGTTTCCTATCCTATGCAAAATAATTTAGTTTACTGCTTACAAACACTTGTAAGCACCCTTGCAGTATTTCATCTATACAGCTAGCTCAATTTTCTCCCCCTTTCTCTTTAAAAAAATAATTTTTTGCAACCTTCAGTAATTCAACAGATATTTGAGCCTCTACTATATACTAAGCATAATCTCTTTATTTCCTTAAACTTCTAGTTTTCTGTGTCTGTATTAAAATATCTTAAACTACAATTTATTGTTTCAACTACAAAAACATTCATTATTACTGTTTGCAGCCTCCGTTTTAAAACTTACTGTCTACGTTAAGTAAAACAATCCTAAGTCTCAAAATACTATGTTGAACACTGCTAACACTTTTTCTTATAAAGTACCACTACTTCCAATACATTAAAAAATTGATTAGAAAATAAAGTTTACCCCAAATTTTTAAAATAATAAACAGAATTACAAAACCACCATTAACACTGGAATTCTTCAATTAGATGCAACTATATATAGTTCATGATAAAGTACATTTTTGAAGATTTATTTGGGGTCATTCATACCCTTCAACAATTAATATAATATGCTGACTTTATAAATACATTTTTAAAGGATAGTCCTTTCAATGCGCAGGAAAAGAACAGACATAGCTCTAGCACAAGTCAAAGCCAATACCCTTCCATTTCTACAGTCTGAAGGCAATCCTAAAATTGCCCTAGCCAGTTTCGCTCAGTGGACTGAGCGTTGGCCTGCGGACTGAAGGGTCCAGGGTTCAATTCCAGAAAAGGGCTCATGCACGGGTTGCGGGCTCGGTACCCAGTAGGGGGGTGCAGGAGGCAACAATTCAATGATTCTCTCTCATCATTGATGTTTCAATCCCTCCCTCTCTGAAATCAATAAAAATATTTTTTAAAAATAAAATAAAATGAAAATGACTATCTTCAGAAATGAAGCTATATCCCAAATAATCAATTCACATTTGTAGATCTCAAAACAAAAAGCAGTAGTGTTAGTCACTAACAGCAAAAATTACTTTTTTTGACAATGAAGTTTTATTTTTATTTCTTTGTTTCCAGTTTTTATTCATCTTTTATTTTTTTATCAAGAAATTTGGGATTAAAATAAATTAACTCTGATCAGACCAAATATACCCCAGCAATAATTCAGTTATAACAATGAACACTTGATGTTCTGGGAACTGAATATATCGCTACTTTCGGCATTTCTACAGGTGGTAGCAATAGTGCCTTACTTTTTGGGCTCATTAGTCTTACCATCTGACATATCCTTAAGGACGAGATTTTCCAACTCACTCCACTCAGTATTCAGACGTTTCATTAACTTGAATGCATTTACAGGGTGCCCGACAAATCCTTCTGGATCTTTTGTCGCTGTGCTAGTTAGCCGATCTAACTTCTCTGCCCATCTATACATATAAGGTGTATAGAAAGAAAAACACAATTTAGTAAAGCACTAAAAAAATTAAAAGAGACTAGATTACAGGTTTTTTAATTAAAACAATATCTAAAAATTATTTTTAAAAGTAAAATTATGGCCCTAACCAGTTTGGCTCAGTGGATAAAGCGTCAGCCTGCGGACTGAAGGGTCCCAGGTTCGATTCTGGTCAAGGGCATGTACCTTGGTTGCGGGTACATCCCCAGTGGGAGGTGTGCAGGAGGCAGCTGATCGATGTTTCTCTCTCGTCGATGTTTCTAACTCTTTATCCCTCTCCCTTCCTCCCAGTAAAAAAAAAAAAAATCAATAAAATATATTTTTTTTAAAAAAATAAAATTATGAAGGTTTTTTAAAAAGCAAAATTCTATTATGGGTAAAATCTAGAATGGCAGAATCAAAATATAACTACAAGACTTCTTTTTTAGTTTTGTTTCTCCCAAGTAGTTACAGTAAATGAAGTCTATCTTAGTAAAAGTTATGATTGGATCCCTCTAATAATAGTCTAAAAATTCATTTCCCCTCAGGTCCTTAAAGCCAAATAACTGATTATTACAAAGTATAAATTAGCTCAATCCAAATTCAGTTATATCTCCATTTAAATCAAACATTCACCAAAAGTTCACATTCATTACCTAGGAACTATATTTTAAAACAAAAAACTGATTACTTAGCTACTCGTTAAACAAAAAATAATAATTCTCAAGTTAGGATTAACTATGAACCTGAGTCAATTAAAAATAAATTACCATTTGAGTAAAAACTATATAAATTAAATAATACTAACCACACTTATCACTGTAATCTCTAGAATGGAACCCTAAGAGTGAAGGATAAATAGAATTGGGGAACTGCTCCAGAAAGTGGCTTGATTAGGGAGGTTATAGAACAGAAGCTATTAGGAAACATTCAAAAAAAATTGTCAGTCAACAACCCATACCCATTTATATTATCTCAACCCATGTTCTTCCATGTGAACTCTTGGCCCAGGCCTAACTATTGTTTTCTGTGTTCCTATTTAAGCCATTTCAGCTGGCTTTTTAAGACTAATGGCTTTAATTTCTACTCAAATGTTTTAGCTCTAGAAAGAAGTCATAATAAAACACTTTGCTTACTTTTTTATTTGTTCTAATTTGTCTTCTTCTGCCTTAATATAGTCTTTCAGGGAAGTCACCAGATCTTTCTCTGTATGAATCAAATCAGTCATCTGACCTAAAGAGAAGGAGGAAAGATTAGCAAATACCCATATTCCATCAGCACAAGTATTTTAGACTAATCCTGTATAATAAAAGGCTAATATGCAAATAGATCAAACGGGGGGAAAGACCAGTTGCTATGACGTGCACTGACCACCAGGGAATGGACGCTCAATGCAGGAGCTACCCCCTGGTGGTCAGTATGCTCCAACAGAGGAAGCACTGCTCAGCCAGAAGCCCTGAGCCGAGCTCACAGCTGGCAAGCATGGCGGTGGCGGCGGGAGCCTCTCCCGCCTCCACGACAGTGCTAAGGATGTCCGACTGACAGGCCTAAGCCATCAGTTGGACATCCCCTGAGGGCTCCCAGACTGTGAGAGGGTGCAGGCCGATTATCTACACTAATAAAAGAGAAACATGGTAATTAGCGTACAACCGCTACCCTTCTCATTGGCTAATCAGCATATCCTTATGCAAATTAACTGTCAGCCAAGATGGTGGCCGGGCAGCCATGCACTGAAGCGAACAGGGAGGCTTGCTTGCTCCAGTGACGGCTGACTCTAACATTCCCCGCCTGAGTTGCCGGCCTCTCAGCTGCAACTCTAAGCAACTATGTACTATGTTGCAAATAAGAAGCTAAACAAAACCCCAGAAACCGGCTTTCAGTCAGCCAGGTTCAGCCAGCTGGACCGCAACATTGTATCAAATACAGAAGGAAAAACAAAGGCCAGAAACCAGCTTTCAGCAGCCGAGGCCTCAGAGCTAAAGCTGGCCCAGAATAAAAAAAAAAAAAAGAAAAAAAGGAGCAG